GAATAATCGGATATCCAATTTGGGATATCCGATTAGTTGTGCGCATGGTCTTGCTCAAACCGCAACACCAAATTCGCGCAGACATCATTAGTTGCAATTTATTAATTAAATTGTAGAATTTGTCAAAAATTTGATACTTTTTACATTGCAAACAATGGATGATTCTAACTTCCCGACTAATTTTTATCTACAGGGTGTATCAAAAAAGGAGACATTTAGAAATCAAGCATATTGTTAAAATTTGAATGCCTTTTCAATTGCACATATGCTGAACCGTAGTGCGTGAAATATTGATGGGTGAAATATTGATGGGTGAAATATTGATTTGCATATACTAGAAAAAGGAGACCTTTTGAAATTGAAATAACGTTTAAACAAAAGATTGTCTGCTCCTGGGAACATTCTGCCGTGCATACTGTACGTAGATCGCATGTTACGCATTTGTGGGCTTAGAAAAAGGTTTCTAATATATGGTTTCTAATAAAGGTCTTAGAAAAAGGTTTCTAATATAATATAATATATTTCCATCTACTTGCAAGTGATGAACCAGGCAGGAATCGTAATCGTAATATAAAAATTAATGCCCAGCACAACGTACGCAAAAGAGCCATATAGACAAGAATGTAGACTTAAAATTTATTTGAGAAGTACTAACGTTTCGTCAAAGTTAAAGACGAAACGTTAGTACTTCTCAAATAAATTTTATGTCTACATTCTTGTCTATATGGCTCTTTTGCGTACTTTATGCTGGGCATTAATTTTTATATTACCATGCAGACTCCATCAATATTTCACGCACCACGGTTCAGCATATGTGCAATTGAAAAGGCATTCAAATTTTAACAATATGCTTGCTTGATTTCTAAAGGTTTCCTTTTTTCGATACACCCTGTAGACTCTTGTCTAGACGAAATCTATCACCGAGCATAAGAGAAAATAGCCTGGGTACAAAGTTGTCTATCATTATGGTTCAAAAGAGCATCCTAAAAAGGCTAAAATTTGTAAAATTGCAAAGTTTGGTTGCGAAATTTTGTAAAACACAAAAAATATAGCCCTATGAAATTATCAAATTTTGAGTACTTTAGTATTACGCGCAGAAAAATGCACCACTTTCTGCCCAATATCACTGTATTAGTCACTGTATTACGAAGGCAAGTTTTTTTACTTTCTTTGGTGGTTTTACCACATCGAATCCCGTTCGATCAGAGTTTATTGGCAAGAACTGTCCATTGCTAATTTTCTGGATGCAGGCTGTGGTGAATTAATATGAAAATATCGGTCACTGTCTGAAGGTTGTATGGAATTGGTAATTTTGTCAGTTGGAGTGATTTGTTTCGGTTTAATGTGCATTGCGGTTTTCAAAGCTGCTTGTATATCGTATAAAATTACGCAGCCTCATACAATCGGAAACTGAATGCACAGAATTATTGCCATATCATCATCTTTCTCATAATTTAGCGTCATCATAACTGAGCTGACGAAGAAAGACGACACACCAAATGAAGGTTAGTTAATTTAGTGTGCCTTGTCTGTGCCTATGGCCGACTGGAAAGTTTGGAAATTGCGCAGCCAAGATTTCGAAAATTTAATATAGTAAATATCTTAAACAAAGCATCAAAATTGGGCGCCCGATATCTCGATACAAACTTCCCACACTAGTATAATGGCAACATATACTTGAAATATGTATTAAGGTTGTTTCTCTTATAGCTATAGTAAAGTATTCAAAATGTTTAAGAACGAACTTTCTCTATTAAGCCTTATGACTTTACTATATTTTGTGTTCAACGACAATGTATATAATATATACCACAGTAAGATGTGTATAGACCCCTTGCACATGACGTCACAGCGCCGGTGACGATGCATCTGGAGGACAAATTAGCAATCTATGCATAATATAACTTTTGTAAACAAAGCAAATTTTGTAAAAGTTTGTAATAATTTTGTATTAAAATGGTTAATATTTGCGTTGTATGTGGTTGTTGTACCCGAATAGAATATCTAGAGGACACTCTAAGGATTTGTGATGTCAGTGCAATGGGTTTATATGCAATGGAAATTTCGATTTTGTGATTTTCGCATCTGAAAATTTCATCTTTTCTGATGATTTTAATACCAACCTTGTTGAAAACTTCGGACTAGAAGTTTGTGAGTTCAAAGTTGGTACTGTATCATATATCATGGCAGATAAGAACACGGTGCCAAGCGCGGTGCATGAAATAATAATAATTCATTTTCAAATACGCCCACCAAGCCAGTTCGATCGAAAATACCGAAACCTAACAACACAAATAATAAACGTACAAGCTAGTTCTTTGGGTGAATGAGTTCGGTTTTGCTGGATGATACGTTTATGTTCTACTTGTTGTGAAAGAATTTCTTAGGATAGTCAAAACGTCCCCAGGTCAAAACGTCCCCAACTCAAGTCAAAGCGTCCCTAGGTCAAAACGTCCCCAACTCAAGTCAAAATGTCCTCGATAAGTCAAAATATCCCAAATAAAAGTCAAAATTTTACATAAATGATCATTAAATTATAAAAACAATTAGAGGCTAACAACAGGATTTACCGACAAAAGATAGGACGTCATTTTTATGATGACTCATTTTTACAGGAGTTCATTATGTATGCATCATGACAGTTGGCTTAAATTTATCACACTAAAAATTCTGAAATCTTGGCACTATTACAATTATTTGAGCTTATTTGCAAATAAGTTCATTACCAAATAAAGCAATTAATACTCCCATGTGTTGCATAATTTGGAAAACGTGTGTCGTAACTCAACCCTATGTCTATGAACATGTTTATTCTTTTATAATTTACTTGCAGTTCAATTTATTTGAACACACGAGTTAGGGGTTTCAGTTTGGCCTGGGGACGTTTTGACCGCGTAGAGTCGGGGACGTTTTAACCTGGGGACGTTTTGACTGGATACCTTTGTTATATGTTTGCGTTCTTGTTGTTTTCCTTCGTTTGTGTTAGGTAGTGTTGCTGTTCTGTGTAAGAGTGTCAGTGCAGTGCTAACTTTGTGTTGTTTGTCATGTGTGAGTTATAGTCTAAGTATCTGTCAGTGTGTGTAGGTTTTCGGTAGTCCACGTTGCACTAGTATAATAATCATCTTTGTAAATATATCTTATAGGTGAAATAAATATCTATCTATTTAATGTTCATTTCCTATGAAGTCGCAGATTGTTTATTAAACTATAACTGATTAGTACTACCACACTTGAAAGTTTAGTTTATACATGCACTTGAAAGTTTGCAAGAAAATTTTAATATTAATATTTTTTCTCGATTTATTTTGCATCGAATGCAAATTTTTCTTCCCAAATTCTTTATATAACACGATGGAAAATAGAGCAATCTCATTGGTCGACAGGTCACATGACAAATTACGTCACACATACAAAATCTCATTAGTAAATTACGCAAGGTGATTGGCTTCCAGGCCAAATGACGTAAGGGTGTATTGTATGTGGAATGATGTCATTGTTTTGACTCAGCAACATTTTGGTCATCCTTATAAACTGGCGCGCTTAGTGAATTTTATTAGTAGCGACACAACAAGTTATATACGAAAGAGGTATTGAAGTTAAAAAGTGGAGTTACCTGAAGAAGACGAAAGAGTTGTGCTCAATCTGACAGCTAGAAAAGAGGTAAGTTGAACTGGTATGTTATAGTTTAAAGATAAAGAGCAGAGCCCAGCAAATAACATTAAAACCAAACATAATAAAAGTTAACATTTTTATTAGCTAACGTTTCGTTGTTTACAATACAACATCTTCAGAGCAATCTAAATGAATTGACAAAATAATGGTTAATGGTATGTTATAATTATATAGTAATTGAATATAGTATTCATAAAGACCTTCTTATAGCAAGTTAAAGAAAGAAATGGTTAACGCATTCCAAAGAATTTTGAACAATTCCAAACTTTGAATTTTAACTAAAATTTGCAATATTTTGCAGAGTTTTCTCATATTGCTAAGCCATCGTGATTTTGCCCCAAATTTCGAAGCTAGACAAAGGCGATTTCTTGCGAACTCAGTGTGTCGAAATTGTATTGATGTATAATCTCATTTTTGCTGACAGCAATTTTTCTGGTTTACGTTTTTGTTATTAGTCGGTGGGGCCACCTGTGGTGCCACCGACTCTTGGTACGCCACAAATTACGTCATTTTAATTACGTAATTCTTACGAAATAGAAATCAAAATGGCGACCATGGAATTGCGTGCAAAATTTCGCTATTGAATATTTGGTTCAGTGATTCAGTCGTGTCTTTTCTTTGGGGGGTTTTGAAAGAAATATATTAAGAATTCACTAAACGTTATCACGACGTTTCACTGTTATGTTATCGAGGAGGGAAGTGGATAATTTGTACATAATTTTATACATTTAAAGTTTGTATCGCGCGGCGGAGTCGGAGATATCGGGCGCGCAATTTTGATGCTTTCTATATATTTACTATTGAATTTTCGAAATCTCCGGCGCGCAATTTCCAAACTTTCCAGTCAGTAATAATATTTTGGTCTTTTGGATCTACATAAATTAAACTTAAACTGAAGTCAGACGTCGCCTGCTTCTTTCGACCAGTTGGTAACATAACACCAGCCGATCAGTGTAATGACAACAGGATGAACGCTTATAATTTTAACACATACGATACACTAT